AAGGGCTTTACAGCCGTCGAGTCCGGCGTCCGCACCCTCCCCATGGTTCTCTCCATGACCGTCTTCGCAGCCGTATCAGGAGGCGTCATCACTAAGATTGGGTACTACACCCCCGTGATGCTCGTCGGTGTCTGCATCATGTCTGTCGGCGCGGGCTTGATGACGACGCTTGAGGTGGATACGAGCACGGCAAAGTGGGCGGCGTACCAGGTCATCTACGGTATCGGGCAGGGCATGACGTTCCAGGCGCCGAATCTTGCTGCACAGACGGTGCTTAAGCTGAAAGACGTGCCTGTGGGCGCGAGTATCATGTTCTTCTCGCAGACGCTCGGTGGCGCCGTGTTTATCTCGGTTGGGCAGACGGTGCTGAACAACGAACTTGTGAAGAGGATCAAGGGGCTGCCTGGGCTCGAGGGAATCAACTTGCAAACTACCGGCGCGACATCGCTGACAGATCTGCCGGACAATGTGAAAGGACCTGTGTTGGAGGCTTACAACGGAGCGCTGAAGGTTGTGTTCGTGGTTGCGCTGGTCATGGTTTGCTCCGTGTTCATCGGAGCTGGTGGTATGGAGTGGAAGAGCGTGAAGAAGGAGCAGCAGGCGAAGCAGAAGGCCAAGGAGGATGCCGAGGCGGCTGAGGCTGCGGCTGCTGTTGGCGGGGTTTCTGGGGTTGTGGCGGCTACCGTTGCTGCTGAGGCACAGAGGGAGAAGGAGAAGCAACTTGATGAGGGCAGCGAACGGGATGTCGAGGATGTCGAGAAACCAAGGGGGCGGAGTCTGAGCCGTGGCGATGATGGTGCGGCGTTGAGGCAAGAGGATGAGGCCACGACCGTTGGATTCGACACAGAGGGAACGAAACACATTTAGATGAATGGACGGACGGGATATTACATAGGTAATTTAGGCACGGGAAGAACTCTTTGTATGATAGCATGATACCCCTCTCGATTTAAGGAAATTTAATGTAATGTAAATTCATCTGAAATCAAGAAATAGTTGAGGAGGCAAATCTAAGAAAGCCAATTATTCAGAACAAATAACAGGGGCAGTGCGCACGTTCGACGGGCTCCTCCTCAATCACCAGCTTGTTCTGTTGTCTACTATGTATTCCCACCTCAAGGAACCAACTTTCTTTTGCCGGAAAAAGAGGAGGAATACATAAATCTACGGAAATATGAGATTGCCTTGAACATTGCATGTCGCTTTCGCCACAGCAGCTAGCCTTTAAGGAGGGCTAGCGGTCACAAACGAGATTTTGTTGCCGTTTGTTGGGATACCTTAGACAGAAACGCCTCATTGCTGATTGATCACATATTCTCATAGCTACTTATACGTCCAAGAGCATAGGAATTACTTAGCTTGCAAAAAGCCGCTTTCAAAACCCCGAGGTGCTGTGGTGGATTTTTCAAGGCAAACACCGGTATCACCACCAAGCAAATGACGGCCGAGAATCTACCATCACAAGTGAGAGAGAAGGTCTTTGGGATTCTAGGCAGACAAAGACACTACGTAGGCAAACAAGTTGCCATAATGCGGACAAACACTTCTTGCCTCTAGCATTGGGAATCACTTCTGCCTGTAACAAACCAATCGCCCTTTCCGCCATTTGTCTCATGACTGCCCCAAGGAAGCCTTTTCCTCTCAGATCACGAAGCTGGAGAAGACTCCAACCTTATACAAAAGCCGAACTGGAGCCGCTTGGTCTTGCTCTGTTGAACGAATCTCATTCCGGCCAAGGATAGCCACTTCATCTCAGATCAGCTGAACAACTCATTCTCCATCCGCTATCAAGATGCCTGCCTCCAATTCCAATACTACCTCTCCCGTCAAGAAGCCTACCATCGTCGGCCTATACGGCCTTCCTGGTAGTGGCAAGTCTTACGTCTTGGGCCGTCTCAAGACAGACTTCGGTTTTGGAGATCGATTCCAGTACTATGAGGGGTCCGAGGTCATTGGGAACCTCGTCGACGGCGGTCTGGAAGCATTCAAGCGACTTCACAACGACGCGAAAACCCGAAAACGACAGCAAGCCATTCAATGTATTGCCGATGAATGTACCGCGACTGGGCGTATTGGAATTGTCACCGGCCATTACTCATTCTGGAACGACAAATCTCCCTCCCATGACGTTGTGTGGACCGACGCCGACCTGCGCGTCTACACCCACATCCTCTACCTGGACATGCCCGCTATCAGTCTATGGGATCAACGAACTTACGATGAACTTCGAACGCGCCCTGAACTACAACCTCATCACCTCGCACAATGGAAGAATTCCGAAATCGCCGCTCTATCCCGTCTTTCTCGTCTGAATGGCATGCATTTCATGCCGCTGTATCTCGGCGGGCCTCATTCTTCTGACGGCATTGAACACATGCTGCGCAATATTGAGACAAAAGACGAAGAGAACCTTCGTCATGTAAGAAGCGAGACTGATCGATTGCTTTTCTCGGGCTCAGGCCGCGATCGGTTGGATACGGTGTTGGTGTTGGACGCGGATCGAACGCTGTGCGCAGCGGACACGGGCTCGATGTTCTGGGAGAGGCTCAAGGCAACTTCGCGGAGGCGATATCCTGACTGTGTATGGGATGGTCCGGAGAACTTTGGAAAGCATTGGCTGTGGGACGACCTCATATGTCCCCTGAAGAGGCTATTCAGCGAAAACAACGACTACTCCCTGGCTATCTTTCACCGGGCCATGGCTTTGTATGAGTACGTCGAAAGCGCCTTTGACGAAGTATGCGAGGAAGTCGCCGCGGCTGTCTCGCTGTACCCGGAGTTCATGGCCCTGATTCACGCCGTCAAGTGCCATCGCGGCGTTGGCATCGTCATCGCCACGTGTGGCCTTCGTCGAATCTGGAAACTGATATTGGAGAGAGAGGGCCTCGACGATGACGTTAAGATCATCGGTGGGGGTCGCTTTTCCGATGATTACGTTGTTACTCCTGAGGCCAAGGCCGTCGTCGTCTCTCATCTGCAAAGTAAAGGTGTGTTTGTCTGGGCTTTCGGAGACAGTCCGATGGACTTGCCCATGCTCAAGAGGGCCGACCAAGCTATCGTCGTCGTCGGCGAGGAGCGTTCTAGAAGCAAGACTATGGACGCTGAGTTGACCAGGGTTATTACTGGCGACAAGAACTTCCGTCCAAGACAGGCTTTGGTCCCGATGCATTCATCACCCCGCCTTGATCCAGAGCATTTACCGATTGTCGACATCTCTGGCCAAGCTTTCGTGGAATCTTTCCTATACCGCTACGCCAACCTCCAGGTTCTGCACGCCACGAACAAGAGTGCAGCCAAACTTCTCATGACTGCGACACGAGACGCGTCTGTGGCCGGTCCTAGTCTCAGAGCGGCCCATGGGCAAGTCGGGCGGTACCTCGCCACCGAGTTTCTGACGGAGCTGCTCGGCCTAGAGACATATGCTATACCTCATGTTCAGGGCTACAACACCGATGGTCATCGACTTTTCGACGAGAGCCGAACAGCCATCGTTGCTCTCATGCGCGGTGGTGAACCCATGGCCCTTGGTGTCAGCGAGGTGTTCCCCCATGCCATCTTCATCCACGCCAACCGCGCCTCCGAGCTCACGAATGAGGCTCTTGTGGGAGTGAACACGCTGCTCTTGGTTGATTCGGTGGCCAACAGCGGCAAGTCAATCAAGGGGTTCGTCGATCGTGTTCGGAGGTTGAAGCTGGAGATTCGCATCGTCATTGTGGCCGGTGTTGTTCAGGCCAAGGCCATTTCGGATGTCCTAGAGCCACTTGCTTGTAAAGGAGATCTCAGTCTCGTCGCACTTCGGTTGTCGGACAACAAGTTCCCTGGAATCGGAGGCACGGACACTGGCAACCGGCTATTCAACACTACACATTTAAATTGATATCCAGGGGGACTTTGTGTCAGGGTGGGAGGGCGGCAAGTTGCGGTGTTGGAATACGAGGCCGTGTAAGTGTCGGATCGATTTATGCCCTAGGGGCTCGTTGGACGCATAAAATTTGTTGCTGGTCCTGCAGCTTTGGATTGGTACTTTATCAACACTGAGATGGACATGAACTTGCAACATTTGCGTGATCCTGCCGAGTGAAGTGGTCAAAGGAAAACTGATCAATAAATATACTTATGACTGCGTATAAGCATCAGGAGGGATCGTCATGGGTCGGTGAAAGAGTACGCCACGAGCTCTTTACCAGTCGCGTCGAGGACCTGTTTCTGATTATACTTATTACCCTGATGTACAGCCGAGTTGAGTGGTTTGTGTGATACCAACCTATAGCAAAAGACTTTTGGTCAACTGATCGTATGTTGGTCAATCAATCATACAGATACCATGTGTTCGATATCTAGCCTTGACAACCTTATGTTAACTTAACAGCCAAGTCCTGAGAGGTTCCCGATGATTCTCAAGGGGCAAGTCTCAAATAAGTAGACGGATTGGGACGCTATGCCATAGACTACAAGAAGTTGAGATCTGGAAGAGCGTTGAGGCTAGAATCTTTGTGTCCAAGCGGCTTTCACCTTGGTCTAAAAGATGTCTCTCTGCCGTCCCGCTAAGGCAACATGATCCGCCGTCCCAAATTCAGTGATTGGGTTGAACGAGATCAACTTCAAAGGCGGAAGGCCATGATCGTAGCTTCTCCTCTTCGTCATGCGAATAGAATTCGGAGTTCAAGGGAGTTTAAGATGGACACTGCCAGATTACTGCATCTATTTAGAGATTACACAATTCTCTATTCCTTCAGCCTTCAACAAAGGAAGGATTACCGGAGGCCGAAACAATACCACCATCCTCGACCTATCCTCCTAATACCTCAGTGGCCCGAGTTTCGAGCACATGGGAATGGGTTCAGGTATGCTTATCAAGACCATAGATCTAAATACGATCGGACCTCGTTTCGGGCAGCTTAAGAAGATGTACTCCGGTGTAAGCCAGCTACCATGCGGAAACTTCGAGGAGGCTTTCATACCTAACAAAAAAAAACCCCCCAAGAGGTTACAAATATTCTGCCAGAGGAAATCGAGTTCTCAAAGTTGTTGAAAGGACTTTAGGTAATCTCTACACTGGTTCTCTTAGCGTGCGTCTGTTGCTGTATCTTGTTCGTTCACCTGGCATCGAGCCCCGAGATTCTGGTGTCTGGATCGACAGTAGCACGAAACTCAAAACATATTACACTGTCGCCGAAGACTACATGGATGGACGGGCCTGAGTTTGCCAAGGAGATCAAACCGTTGCCAATAAGACACGGCTTGGTCCATGGAGAGGTCGCGGAAGAGGCAGTGGTGGCCATCGGGGTTGAAGACGAGACTGAAGATATCTGCAAGAGAGGGCCTCGCTCTTAGGCATCTTTCCAATAGCAGCCTTGTGTTACATTCTTGTGATATTTATTGAAGATGGTAGCTCACAGTTGGCTACCGGACCAACAGTGAGAAATAAATGACATGAAGAGTCAACTGCTTTCACCCGAGACCGCCTCCTTCTTCACTACTCTCAATTCAAGGGGGGACTCGACCCTACTGAATGACAGCATCAACATGCGCGCCATCAGCAAGACGTCGGCGTCGTTCTTCAGAACTCTAAAGACGAAGCTGCAATATCTCTCGCGGATGAAGATTGCGGCTCTTCGCAGTCAAGGGCCTGGCAGAGCCCCCGGCACAGGAGAGAGCCTGAGAAAGACCATGCTTCATGTTCATCTGCTAAATACAGAGTCTCCTCACCTTGCTCCGCAGGTTCAACATCAAACCCCAGCATCACGATTTCCCAAGATAAGGAATGACGAAAGGAACCTACAGTCACAAGCCCACAAGTCATCCATGAAACTCTACCAGCGAACTTCGTACTTCCCAAGAAGAAACAGACCGCATCAAAGCTCAACGGCGCCTCCGTCTGCAACTCTGCACCGCTCTGCTCGGGCCCGGAAGTGATCCCGCTCGAAACCATGGTCGAGAAATACCCGTGTTACCCGCCCGGCCCTCGGCAGTAACCATTCCTCCGCCCTTAATCTCCCCGGCCGAACACCAGCGCAGCAAGAAAAAAAAAAGTCAAAACATTCACCCCCCGGTCGGTAATTCCGCCAGCGTCGAAGGACTCGAAGTGAGGTGATGACAGGTGCGCACCGAAAGCCCACGAGGTATCCCGCCGCCGAGCATCACTTCCCTCTGACAGAATACTCTGCATTCGTAGGTCGTCTTAGGCTCAAGCAGCTAGCGAACACTACCCATCTCTCCAATGATCGATACGTAGGATGCTTTGGCTGTGTGATGTGGTTAATGTTAACCCGGAGCGATGACGATCCAACAACTTTACAAGTTACTAGTCTGCCCGCCTGTGCGGGTATTGTCAGTCCGCAAGAGTCAAGACGTCTGTCTGACTCGCCATGATTTTCAACCTGTTCCCATACTGGCGTTCCCCACGTCGTACCATCTCCCCCATATCGCAAGGCGCAAAAAAGCCCACGATAAAGCAGCCACACAATCATCCATCACAAGCACGAAAAAACCTAGCAGCGATGAAAGAGTAGCCTCAGATAGAGATGATACGAAATCGTATCTGACCACCTTGGGAGGGAAAAACTCTATCTTCCCTCCCCGAGTCGGAGGATGCCTGCGATATCGCGACATGCAGACCAGCCGCAGGGTTCGCCTATCTCTATCAAACTTGACCAGGGGTGGAGGGCCCTACGCCGCGGTACAGATACAGACACAGATTTGAGATAGGATAGTCGCCTTCCAGGGCAAAGACGCTTCGACGTATCCGTAAAGACGCACAAAAGACGCCATCTGAAGTTCGTCCTTCGTGATCCATGGCCCATGGGTGTAAGAGAGACAGGGACGAGGACGTGATATCTCCCTCACAAGCTCTGTTCCAGAATGCGACGCTGTATCGCGCGCACACACACGCACATGCACACGCACACGCGCGCGGCGCGAACGCGAGTTATGGTATCTATATTCTAGAACACATGTTTTGAAAGTGCGCAAGTAAAGTAGTGTCGGCGAGTATCAGCCGGTCCAGCGTTTACCCCTCCAAGTTTTCCATCAACGGCAGTTTGGAAACCAGACATCTTAGCCTGGTGCTCTTCAGGCTTCATCAACATTCAACTCAGATCTTCAAACGAAAGAGGAGACTACTTTCACACGGCACGTGGGGGTGGGGTCGTGCCCATCTGCCATTCCCATTCTGACTCTGGCTACTACTGCAGCAGCAGCAAGGACAGCCTGAGCCAACCAGTCATGCTGCAAGCAAAAGGCTCGGAAAAGGAATTGAATTCCTCTCTTATCGTTGGTCGTAGAGAGAAAAGGAACCCCTCCTAAACCCCAAACAGAAATGTACGTGAGTGAGACAAGAAATGGTCAAGAGACCTACAGCAGATCCGTCACAAACATCTCTGCCACTCCATGTTCTTCATCTGTGATCGCCTCTTCTGTGATCGCAAACTGGCTGGCTGTCGGAATTTCCGACCTGGGCTAAGGCGAAAACCCTCATGAAGCTTGTCAAAAGGGCTGGATTTCCGAACACCTCACAACCCTGACCGCCTAGGTCTCGATCCTGATTCCTCACGACTCTCACCGGATCTTCCCAAAACTGAATGAACCATAGCAAGTGCCATTCGCAAAGATGGGACAGTGAGGGGTAAACTCCCATTCGTCCACCGGCCGCGCCTACATAGTACAGTACTACAAAATGCTTGCTGCGCCGTTAGCTCACCCGCCTCCGGAGCTAGGACCAGAGACGAACATCGGCATCCAATAGTATCGTGGCCGGCGTTAGATTCCGTGGGCAGTGGTATTTGGATTTCCCCGTTGGGCTTCTTCTCTAGTGTCCTTGCCCGCCTCTCCAGTACTAAGTAGTGAACACCTATGGGACCATTCAAGCTCATCCTGCGACCCGGGGGCTTGTCACGCTCGCACATTGATCTATCGTCTAGCACGAGCAGCTTGCATCGGTTCATTCTTGGTCTCACTTGCCTAGGAGACGAAGCATTCCCCCCTCATGATGTCAGACCGCACACCAGTCTGCGCAAGTTGCTGCTTTCTGGAATTTCGTGCAGAGCTGCATGTGTTCCTCCAATATTTGTGTCATCTTCCTTGGATCAGATGGAATAGCCAGGGCGGTCACTGCGATGGGGATGACACGATGGCACCCCGACATTGTGTGCATGAGTCGCCGACGCACGCTTAGCGGCACAAGGTCCCCGTTTGTGTTGAGGCCTGCTCACTTTGCCCCTCTGCCCGGTTGGACCTCGTGAAGCCAACGATCAACAATGAAATAGAGAGGACGGAGGGAGGAGCCACTCGTGTGACGATTGTCACAGGTGGTGGAATGTAGTCCCAGTCGCAGTATCCTGTTCTCGGCAAAAAGCGATCTGGGGGCGAGTGCGGGATATTTGACAGCCGTTGTTTTGAGGCACAGCAGAGGGATTCACGATAGGACTGTAGCGTGTCTGTCAAGTCAATGTTCGCCCACTTTCCTCTGCTACTCGACTAAGTCGACTCGCCTGCTGTGCATGCGATCCATTTGGGACAAGCGAGTGAAGGAGGTGTGTAGCGGTTCGGGCAAAATAGGATTGTGGTGTGTTGGCCACGAAAGCCAAGAAGCGGAAAAGAACCCAAGAGACGCAAGCCTATCTCTTGGTCTTCCGTTCGGCATCACGACTTGGCACACCAAAGGAAAGGGAGGGGTGGCCAGGCGGGTGAGGCGACAAGAGAGCAAATCCGCAGAGCTGCAAGAATGCCACAAGGCCGCAGGTGACAACAGGCCGGACCATGTTCTCGGTTGGGGGTCCTCTGTGTTGGAACCTGGGAGTCGTCGTTCTGGAAAGATCAAAAGGTGTGAGCTCACTGGACTCTGGTTGGATGTGCCTTGCATTAGCGGCGAGCCTGTGGTTCTGGACTGTCGGCGACGACGAGATATGTCTCTGGGGAGGGGGTGTTTAGTGTCGACCATGTCGTCGAAAGCGTGCCCTGCTGCAAAGTGCAAACTCCCCTTCTCCCAGCTTTTGGACGCCTAGACCAAGGCCCGCCTGATGCTTATGGTCAGTGGCCAACCAGGCAGATGGCGCCGCCAGGCGACAATCAAGACAACATGTCGCGACCAATTGCTAGTTGCTTCTCAGGGACGAGGTTGCATCGATAGTCGCAATTGATAGACCGACAGACAGCCGACACGACACCACGCGCAAAGTGGACGCGGTACGGGAAGAACCACCTCATCAATGGGTCAGGTCAGTCGGAGTTGGGGCCAACCGTTGGCAAGCCGCAAGACTGTGTTCCGTATCCGTAGACAAGCTTTACGTCTTGATTGTGCCTTGGCACGGAAAGGCTCCTAGCTGCTTCTTGGCATCTTGCTGCCTCGCAAGTTGTACAAAGTACAGAGAAGGAGGAGTACTCGTAGGAAAAACGAGATATGACTGTGGATGAGGCTATGGGACTATGATGCGGATATTTCGTATTGCTCGTCAAGCGAAAACGCGGGTCGATCCGCCATGACGATAACGACAACGAAGGCTGAAGTTGATGACTGATGTTGACGTTGATGATCCAGAAGGCAGTGATAAAATAAGTGAGACCTGAGGAGAGGATGTTCCAGCACCGCCCAGCGCCGAGCGTCTTTAGCAAGGATGTATACGCGGGTGTGTGCGGATTGTGTAGGAATCAAACAACCTGTGGAGGTTGCGAGAGCGAGAACGAAAAGCGATACGGATCCAAGCCAAGTCATTTCAGCAAAAAGGACGATAGAATAGATGCGACATTGACAGCAGCACTGCAACGGTCGTCGGTCAGCATCCAACGGCTCAGGCCATAACCGTATTGTCTCACTCTCCCGCTCATCATCATAGCGCAAAAAAAAGAAGCGATGGATGGATGGATGGTGTCTGTTCTGACGCAAAAGTTAGAACAACAACGACCTGGATCCATACTGATGCAGGGAGAAGGAGACGCTCCGTAGCTTCTCAGCAAGCGAGACAAGTGGCCAGGATAGACTGGGGGCGGCAAAGTCAAGGATGGATCCTGTCACGCCTGTCTGCCTCATGAAGAGACCCGATTGCCAGGGTCGTTTCGCCAAACATGATGAACGTCTTCAATGCGACAAAGCCTGTCAAGGTAGTCACTGATGGGTGACAAGTGACGAGCAACAAGGGGAAACGGCGACGCGTTCAATGAAAGGGGGGGGGGGGGGGGGGAGATAAAATGGGTGGAATAGGTGGATATTGATCCTGTAACAAGCGACAGGGGAGCGTCCCCGACGAACTCTCTCTCAAGACACGGCGGCAGCGCAAGATGGAAACTGGGGAACGCATTGGCTGCCGTGTCGCTCGAAATTTCATTCTGGGCCGATACCTGTGCCTGTGCTGTGGGGAGAGCGATAGCAAACTCCAGAGGCCTTGGATCTTGCATGGCAGGCCGCAGGAGCAGTACAAGGTGCCTAGCCTAGCATGTCGAGTTATTGATGCTGGAGCTGCTACTATGCACGGCATGGACCCTTTCATGGACCACGCTGGGAGGTTGCATATATCTGCATAAAGACGAAGGCCGGTGGCATAACACGGCCGTGGAAGATGGACGGCCGGGTGTTTGGGTTGAAGGGCCGGTAGGTCGAGAGATAAAAAATGCCGCCATGGAGGGACCGATGAAGAGACGGGGGACGGCCACTGGGCCGGATGGCCCAAAAGACCCAATTGGGAACCGAGCGTACGTCTCAACGAATGAGCAAAAGAGGTCCGGCGGCAGCAAGATGAATCAGGATGGAACTCCCAATGCGCCGGGACGGAATGTGCATCCTGACTTGACTTGCTTGCTGTGTAACTGGGGGCTGTTATACTTGGTCCTTATGGGTATGTTTAAACTCCCTACCAGGTAGTGTGGGTCTGACCAGGGCAAAGCAGTGACTCTCAATGGCCAAATTTCTGTTCGACGTGCACAAGAATCTCGAAAGTAATGCTGCTGATGTAATCGCGAGAAGCATGGGCGAAGATACCTGACAAGGGGGTTAAACTTTGGCCTGATACCGTAGTAGCCTGTTACCGGTGGTTGCAGGTGTCGAGGTCGTCTTTATCCAAGGAAGAGGCGAGAGGGAGCCAGGATGGTCCTCTTTTCTCGCCCAGAGGGGAGAATTGCTGCAGTGTACGGCGTAGTGGTGCTCCTTGATACGGCCGGGGCGAGGGGTGTGCGTGTACTGTAGTGTACGGTACGGGATAGGTGAGCCCAGTTGACTAGCAGGGCATGCCAGAAGCGGGAGAGGGCAGTGAAAGAGGGGTCCTGGAGCCTTGAGGATGTTTCCCTTGTTCCCTCGGGTTGAGCGTCGAAGGGGAGCGACGGTGGACGATGAATACGCGGGCTTTTAGTGACTGACCCAGCCTCTTTACGGATCAAAGAGTGCCGTCTGTTGCTGGGCATTCGGGTGTGACAAGGCGAGGACGAGGACGGTGAAGTTTGCGGCCTCGTCACAAGTGGTGGCTTGGAGGCGGCTGGAGGTTTCTCCTCGTGGTGCGACAAAGTGAACGTCGTTGATAGGGGAGCCAGGGCGTATCCGGCCAGCAGCTAAGACTTGCGTACGCAGTCCGCGGTGGCGTTACTCAAAAGCCTCTTGACGGGTGCCCTTGGCAGTTGGTCTATGGTAGGTCTCTGGGACAAGACGGCGCCGGCAGTGGCTGGGGATCACGCTGTAGACTTCTTGCGTAGACTTCTGGAGGAGTGAAGTTGAACGTCTGTGTCAGCGCATACAGTCAGCAATGCCTCTTTGGACAACCTGGAGTTGACCTACAGTTACTGACTGGCTGCTACTCAGCTTGGTCCGGGGTGCCTGAAGGATGGATGCGTGCGAAATGAGGGGAAACACAGCGCAAACACGCGCAGAGAATGATGACCTCCACTTGAGGATTCATGTGAAGAAGAGGGGCGGCATGAGGTAAATGGCACCAAGGCAAAGTACTGTGCAATCATGGCAATGAGTGATGAGAAATGCTGCGAATGATTGAGAGACTGATAGACATACATCTGCGAGACGCACATGGATGGCAGCAGCAGGACTACACTACCTACATAGTATTACAGTATCAACAGCAGGAGCAGTGAGAGACTCAGAGACTTCCTTCCAAGTTGGTGGACCTGAGCATTGGAGGATGAATTGAGTGAGGGGATACGTACTTTGTGCAGATGGGCACTAAACTGTGAACGGCACAAGTGGGACCTGCCTCCCGCTTCAAGCGTCTTCGACACCAGGGTGACCAGGGCAGGTCCAGGAGCACGGAGCCCAGATCAACCAATAACAAACGAGTAAAAATGACATGGAGATTCCCGCTGGTGGAGTGTTTTTTTGTGAAAAGGAAAGAAGCCAGTCCCAAAAACGGCAGCGCAGATGGAACCCAGTCCCCACTTTTGCCAATCAAGGGAAGCCAGGACCGGGGGCGCTTCCCATAGCGCGAACCAGCCCACCGCTATCCCGCTACTGCAACCTTCTTCCCCAAGTGCGAGGCAAGAGGCACGGTGGCACGCCGGGCAGGTGGCACTGGCAGGTGCAAGTCGTCTCTGCCTGCCCTGCTATTCTCTAGGTAGGTATGCGCAGGTACCTTATTCCTACCATCTTTCGCGTGCGTCCATGGGCCACGAGCAAACAACTTCCAAGAAAAAAAAAAGTCGATCATTGCAAACTTGACTCGTCACGGGCCATCGATAACTCAATGGCTGACCGCCATGGTCGTGCGGCTGGATTCCTGCTCCTGCTCTCCTCTGGATCGTTGCAGTTTTGTCCTCTCCCGGCTGGCTGCTGCTACCATGGCCAGATGCAAATGGGTTTAACCTTTTGACGATTACTCCGGGTGGTTCAATCATCGCCAATCAACTCAATATCTGCCGAGGACGAAGAAGAAGAAGGACATTAATTCACCCGCTTGTTTGCTTCCACCGACAACTAACAACTTTTTTTTCGCCCCTCTGACAGGCCACCAGGCTTGTTATTGATGACAGGCACAGACACAATACAACATTGAACACAGGCACAGGCCGCCGCAATAATGGAGAAGAAGACGAAGAACCTTGGAAGTAGTTCCCCCGCAAGCACACGGTTAAGAGTAACCTGTTTCGGCCCTAGCTACGGCGCATGGCGGGGGGCATACGCAGTACAGTTGGCCCAGATCGTCCAAGTTGGTTTCTGTTCACTGCCACGGCCACGCCTACGATGCCACGGAGCGGCAGCCAGAAACAGAGACACACACGGACGTCCCACATGTGCAATGGTCGCGCTGGTCAGACCTGTCAACCGCTGGCTCCCTTCTTTCATCCCGTCTACGGCGCATGTGTGCGTGTGTCTCTGCTGTGCGGCTGGTCTCGTGAGTCGTCTTGCAGGTCGGCAACCCCAGTAGCCCTACCAGCCATGCCAGCTTAGGACAGAAAGAGGGCAAGACTTGATCTGGTTGCAGACCTGATTCGTGGTCTGGACTGGCCCGAGGTAGCACGATAGAGGTTGCAACAATGAAGCCAGTCTCTGAATCTACTACGGAGTACACTAGTAAAGAGTCTACAGACTTTACTGTGTACGGAGCAAAGGGCCAGGCACGGGGGCTGCGAGTTTGTTTGTGACCCCGGTTCAGCTGGTTCAAAATTCCTTTCTTTTCCCCTCGTCCTCGTCCTCGTGGAGACTTGAGCCGTCGAGGGTACGTATCTTGTCCGATTTACGGGCTTTGCAGTCGGTATATTAGGTAAGAAACATGTGAGGTACATCGCTACAGAGGAACCTTAGGTAAGGACAAAGTCAAGGGAGGCCCATGACAAGGCTCGAAAACCTAGAATGAAGAATAGAAGCAGACAAAAGGCAAAAAAGGAATAGGGCAAGAGGACACGAACGGATACTTTCCATCGCATCGCATCGCCTCACCTCGCATCGCTTCGACATTCGACGGCATCAATGCGCGATTCCGATTTCCTTCTCGACGAGTTCGTCGCCGCTGTCGGTGCCGCCGTCCAGTGTCAGTGTCGAGGTCAGTGTGATGTGTCTGTCTCCTAAACCCCAAGTGTCCCAAGCTCCAGCATTGGGCCCTGCACCAGAAACAACAACCACAAGAGAAAGAGAGAAAGAAGAACAAACCAGTCTGTGATGATGCCGGATGCTGGTGTTGGTGCAGGTTTTTTGGTGCTGGTGCTGGTGCTGGTGCTGGCGTCAGAGCTAGACTGACAGTGACAGCCCTTGTTTGGCTGGTGGACCTGTCTGGCCCGGTCAATTTAGCCCCCCCAGCAGAAAGTGGCATGGCATAATAACGTACAGTTATTCGTAGTCGTACAGATATTGATAGTGCAGACTGCAGACAGTGGTGCAAAGGAAAAAAGGCGAGGGAAAATACGCTGCTGCAAGAGAAAATAGCAGCCGGGCCTGGGTCTCCATGATGCCCCTGCCCGGCGCAATCTTGGCTCCATTCGACTCTTTCCACTCCCATTGACACCCCAATGGCTCACCCCGGCTTGTTCCATTGCTCCATTTGCTCCATTTGCCTCTCCCCCCCCCAGGTCCATAGAGGGTCCTCGAAAGATACGTACTGTCAGTGTGCAGGATACGTACCGGTACGTATTTTGGTGTTCCCTGCGCGATGCACATCCACAATCTCGTCTCGCTCGTCCATCCCATGTCTGTCACTCACCAATTTGCTCTTTCTCACTCTTGTCTCTCTCTCTGGCGCTTGCCGCTCTCGTGGCTCTGTGGCTCTTTCTCAGTCTCTCTGCTCTTGCTCTGTGTCTCTTGGGCTGTCTCGCACACACCCGTCGGCCACTAACCAATGAGTACGTACTTTACAGGTGGATACATACCTACCTTGCTTTGCACCTGCCCGCTCTCTTTCTGTACGGAGCATTTGTATACACACACCTCTGTCGTCGTAACATCCACTCCCCCAGTCTGCCTCTCTGCTCTCTATCCCCTACTCACTGCGTCTCTGGCTGATCCAGGTCCAGAATCCACAGTCCACACCCAAAGAACCAAACGACCAAGACTCAAGAGTACACACGCAATGCCATACATAGCATCCCCAATAAAACCATCGTGACACCTCCCTCCCCGTGCACGTTCGCTCTCATTCTCAGGCCCTACTCTTCTTCTGCCGTGTGTCGTCTCTTTGATCGAGGGTTCAACTTTGCAACATCTGCCAAGTCAAAGGTCGTCCCAAATGCGCTGTTAAACGGGTCTTCGGTTTCTGGTTTCAACGTCTCGTCTCTCGCCATTCGCCATCCTCGTCTCGTCTCGTCTCTTCTCTGAAGAGTCCTCGGCCGTCTACCGTTTACCATCTGTCGTCCTCAAAATCCAAATCCAAATCCTGATCCTCCCACCACCCGTTGGATCGAGCTTTCTCTACTTCTGCCACCAGCTTAGCTCCTCATACCTACTTCTCGGACCCTTCATCTACGCCGCACTCCCCTTCCTCCTCCCTTAAGTCAACTCGCCTCTATCGACCGCACTCTCACACTCTCAATTTCAACGCCGATCCTCACTCTCCCTTTCCGCGCCCCGTGTCTCGCTACCTCTTCGATCTGCCAACCACCCCCCGGTTGACATCACCAGACCCTTCCGCAGGTTTCGGCTTCGAAACCGTCTGTCAGTGGAAAGACATTTGGCTTGGGACTTGCATCGACTGCCCACCTGCTCCGCTTCCTCACCTGTTGGCTGGAACCATTCGAGTGGGTTGATATCAGGCCATTGCTGCTCGTCTACAAGGCATTCGGCTTCGCCTGTCATTCTTCATTCCTTACATACTAGGTCACTTCTTGGGTGAGCTTCCCTCCAATGTACGTCACCCCAATCCTTCTCACCACTGTCTGGTTCCCGTTGATCTCAATTCCTATCCTACTTCACCCACTTCTCCTCCAGCCTCTGCCCTGATTCACTCTTGATACCTCGTCAATGCCGTTGACTAACCCACCTCTCGCAGCAGTCTTGGGCAATTGCATCTGCTCCCCTCTGGACAGACATCCACAGCAATTGAACATTGATCTTTCGATACGACACTTTCGTCACACATCGTTAGCAAGCTAGCCTTGCCAACCCACTACCGCAACAATGGCCGTTCCCCAAGAAAAGGTGGCCGTTCACACCACGGTCGCCAGCATTGCTCTCCCCGAGAAGGCGGCGTACTCGAAGCTGTCCGACACCATCGCCACGACCCCGGGCACACTTACTCCTGTTGCTTCAACCCCCGAAAAGAGCCTGGAAATGCCCCGCGACAGCAACCTTTCTACCCCGCGGTCGTACCGCAACGAGAACCCCTTCGATACCGACATCGAGGCTATGATCACCACGACATCCTCCTCCGATCCGTATGCCATGAAGAGCATCTCAACTACAAAAGACTGCCCAACGATATGGCCGGGCAAGCAAGATTGGAAGGCCAAAGCGAAGGCCGCAAAGCGTGATAGGGGCTCCTGCGCCTGCATGGCTCGCATGAGCAAGAAGAATCGCATCATCATGAAGGTGGCCATTGGCCTCCTCGTTATTGGTGTCGGTGTTGGTGTCGGCTTTGGCGTCAGCAAGCCTTTGGGCGCACCCATCTGGGGCACCCCTGACGGGAACAAGTGAAGAAGACAAGTCTTTCAGCGACATTTACACTTCGACACTGGACTACAAAACGTCAGTCTGTCCATTCAGCCGACTATCACACCGAACATAGCCGCATAGACGCTCTACTACCACCACACTCGAGCCGCTTTCCCTTCAGCTTGTATTATATACAACGAACCATTATTACTGTCGCCCGATGGTCACCTTGGGCGGCTATTCCTCTACTGTCTCTTTTTACATCGAGCCTTGTCATCAACAAAGGGAAGGGGCCACCATAATTACGATCAGGCGTTTTTTGGAGTTCAATGCATGGATATTCCATCAGCGAGCGAGCAGCGGCACTTTGCGATTCAGTATCCTACAGAAGGGGTCACGATAAACCAACGGGCTGTGAGAAGTCCGAGGGCATCGGCGCTACGAGACACGAAGCAATACACTTTGATGTCTACGTTTACGGAGAGACCAGGGCTTTTCCTACTTTTCGATTCTTCAAATGGGGAGAACAGCACCAGCACTTTTTGTACAAGGGTATTGGAGGCACGCTTACTGCGTCAAGGAGAGACGCATGCGGTTTCGCCATAGCTGCGGTTTGTGGTATAAAAGGATTATTGGAGTGGGATTATTATTGTTAGGCTTCTCTATTAGACGGCCTCTATACGCATTAGGGTATCAGGCGAGAGCAATCAAAGACTTCATCAGGGATCCCGCAGTCGAGAAGCGCTCTGGCTGACGGGTATCCTACCTTTTTCTGGTTACACATATTCTCATCTTCACTCTCTGCGTCTCCCGTCGTTTCGAGTCTTCTTCCAACTGGTGGACATGGATCATCCCTTCTTTTTACGTGTTTTGGCCAAAGTGATTGCCATGAAACGACGCACGTTTGTTGGGGTAGACCCTTCTTTCCTACAGACCGAAAGACGAGCTGACAAGGACACACAGGCCGACCACCTCGACAATCACGTTCATGCTTGGAAGGGCCATCACCGAATAGTACAGGCTGCAAAGCGTGCCGGATCCCGATCCGATCCAGCAAAGTTCAAAGAGGTACTCCTCGTTTATCCTGGTACCTAGACGTACAATATCCTTACACTCGCACAATCTCTCGCACCACATGCAAATTTCAGAAAAAGGAAAGAAGAGAAAGTCAAAGAAAGTTCCGCGGGTTTTACCCATCTCAAATCCAAGATGTCGGCTAGGATGGGATGGTGTAGTAAGCGAACGAAAGGCAACTAGAGCGATGGCTCAAACGTGTTAGAAGAGTTGTGTGCAAGAGAGAGCGAAGGGGGGAGAGAGAGAGAGGAAAACAGGTGATGGATGGGGGAAGGGACGGGGATATCACCTTGTCATGAGTTGTGGCTGAAGAAGCAAAAAGGTGCAAACAGTGCGGAAGAAAAGGTTCAACAGAGTTTTGAACTGAACCGTCCGTCCATCCCACTTGTCGATCCCCCTCCATGGCAAACTGAAAAGGATGGACTTCCATCTTTGGCATGGTATTCGGGTCCGCGGGGCGCCAAGCGAGTACGGGGCTTTTGGTGTACGAACGATAGCGGTGGGATTTTCTTCAGATGAGATGGGAATGGTGGTGTTGTTGGTGGGATGGATCTTGGATTCGGGAGGGGAAGTGTGTTCGTTGCGGATGGGCATCGCCGTTCATCGTGGGTCGGTTTCTTCTCCATCTCCTCTTGCAAACACCTCGGCCGCCCACTCTATTGCCGTCCCTTTTTCCCTTTCCATCAGTCTCCCTCCCACGTCTTCCGGCAAAGTATCAGTTGGATCTTGTGACTGTACCGTTTCGCTCTCGTTCACTTGACAGCCAGACGGAATCGATGGGACAGGGGGGTGGATTTGCGTCGCGGGGAGATACTTCTTCTCTATCCCACCTGGCCGCAGCCGGAGCAGACGCGGGGCCACTCTGTAACCGATCTGCGATGGGCCTTGTTCTTGTTCTTGTGCGCCGGGTCTCGGGTGTCCGGTGCCGCGGAGGTGGACTGGGATGCCTCGACGACGGCGGGGTCGTGGCTTTGGTGAGAGTGCCGAGGGCAGTATGACGAAGACGCGGACGCGGAGGTGGATGATTCAGCGACGACGCTGACGACGGGAGATGCACCGCCACTGGATGGGGCTACAGCTTTGCCTTTGCCTTTTCCTTTGCAGGTGCATTTGGGTTTGGCCTTGGCGGTGATGTTGTCGGTCTTGGCTCCGGGCGATCTGGGTTGGGCTTTCGCCTTGCCTTTGCCCTTGGCCTTTGACTTGGTCTTGGTTGTGGGCTCGTCGGTAACAGCGTTAAGGTCTACAGCAGCAGCAGCACCGGAAGAAGAAGAAGAGGCCTCGCTGTTCTAGGGCTTGGCGTTCTTATTTCCCGTCTTGTTGTTGCTGCTGCTCTGGCCTTCTTCCTCGTCAGAATCGAAGACGAGAGCTGAACGCCACTTGACGGTGCCGAAGCGGGTTGGGGAGCGGGATTCTCCCTCCGTCGGGGAGCCCGGCTCGGATCCGATGCTGGAGACGGTGTTTGTTGTTCGGCGGCGGGCGTCGCCGGTGACGGTGACGGTAGAGGATCGCGCGCTGGAGAGCGGGGAGACGCCGTCTGAGTTTGTGGCGGAGGCTCGAGATGCTGCGGTATGGGCTCGGCGGGATAGGGCTGCGGTGCCGGCGGCTGCTGCTGCTGCTGCTGCTGTTGGAGTTGCTGAGGTGGATGCGCTTGAAGATGGCTGCTGCTGATGGGCGTAGTTGTGCGCTGGGGTCGGAGAGGCGCCGTAGTAGGAGGGGATGTGGCCTGCTGCCCAAGTGCCTGTGCCGCTGCTGCCTGCGGTGGTGGTGCTCTTTGGAGTACCGGTGCCAGTAGAGGAAGAGAGGTCCTTGAAGCGGCCGGAGGAGGGGATGTCGGTTGGGGGACGGAGGGGCTTCTGTGTGGTTATGGAGTCTGCGTCCGAGTGGTTTTCATCGTTGTCAGAGCCGTTGTTGGTGTCTCCTTCGTCTGACGTGTCTGTCTGGTTCTCGCGAGAGCTGGAGCTCTGGCCCTCGCGGGGATGGTCGTCTTCTTGGCCCCAGTGGCGACGGCGGCCTGTTCTTCCGTAGATCTGGGAAGGGTGTGGGTTAGTATCTCGTCCTGGACCGTGTTCGCGTTCGGGTTCGATGATCCGAGTCGTGGGCTCTGCGAATCGGGGGCGCCTCAGAGCAGTGGCGATGTCGCCATCGTCGGATTCCGTTTCGGTGATTGCAGGTAGACCGCCGGGAGTTCGAGGGGGTGAGGTTCTCGGGGGAGCGGTTCGAGGGGGGGCAGGTCTCGGGGGAGAGGCGTTCGGGCTCGGAGGGGAGGAGTAGGAGGAAGAGGAGGAGGTATCGTCGGCGGGGTCGGGCTTGGTGTTGGTGGGGGTTTTGCTGCGACGACGGATGAGGCCTGGGTTCAGGAGGGATGGATACGCCATGACCTCGGACCAGAGGTGTCGTCGGCCCCAGGAAGGGGGGTTCTCGTAGAGGGTTATGGGGGGAATCTGGGTTCCGTCACTTGGGTGCCACGCTGCCCATCGACGCTTCTTGCGACGGGGGTGTTCTCCGTGGATGAGGATGCCTGGGGACGTGGTGCCGCTGGTTTCTGGAGCCGAAGTTGAAGCAGCAGCAGAAGCAGCAGCAGCAGCATCGCCAGGACCAACATCACCACCATCTCGGGCATCGGGGGGAAGGGTGATGTGAGAAGAAGACGGGTTGGTTCTGCTTGTACTTACCTCGTTGGGGACCTCGTTCTTATCGAGCTCGCGCCAGGGGAACCAGAACCTGTGAAAGGTTTGCATCTCGATATCGGGGTTCTTCTTCATGTTGTTGATGGCGCGGCGGCGCTCCTGGTAGCAGGTGAAGACGAAGAAGATGAGGACGATAACGGGAACGCAGGGGACGACGATGAAGGTCCAGGTGAGGTTTCCGTAGACTGGGTCCTTGAGCTTTGGTGCGTCTGGTGCTGCGGTGGCCGAGGGGACCTGGGTGATGTAGACGGAGACGGTCGTCACGGTTCGGGGGATGAGGTTTGCGACTGTCGTGATAAGGGTTGTTGGGGTTGCTGTTGGCGGCTGTGTGAACGCTGCTAGGATGGGCTTGAAGGTTGTGGTTGGTGAGGGGAGGGAGTGAAGTGGTGAGGGCGCCATTTTGGAGGATGCCCGCAATAGGGACTTGAGGTATGTTTGAAAGGGGCACTAGGATTTTTGTAGATGCCTATGACGCCGTCCTGTTCGCTTGGGTATAGTGATATACGGCCAGCAGCAGGTATCGTGAGCAATGAGTATCGTTGTGTTGTGTCGAGCCAAGTCGAATAACTGTACTGGTATCGTGCGTATAGCTGTAGGCTGCAAAATGCTGGACAAACAACAAGAAGCAACCTAGCAGAAATGCCAAAACGATATCGCAAAATGAGCTCCGTCTAGACGCTGGTGAGTCGTTAGTATTTTCGAGATGGAGGGGGGACGTGAGTGGTGAGAAGGAGGAATCACCTACTGGGCACGATCGCACGTGATATTTGTGATGTTTTTGTTTGGGAGAAGAGCGAGGGCAGTAAAAAATATGAATGGGATCTCTTTCTACCGCTCACAATGGAAGTGATTTTTTAATTGTTGTGGTAGTCGTCGGATAATAAATCGATGCGAAATACTGGTTTGGGTGAGGTGTGCTGAGGGAAAAGGGGGGAAGGAATGCGGCCTCCTTCTTGAGTAATGTTTTTCTCCCCTGACTTTGTCGGATTTTATTTCGCGTCGTCTTGGTGTCTGGTTTGTACGGAAAAGTCGGGAGATGGGGTGAGTAAGGAAAAGTTCACCTCTGCTGAAGGAGAAGTGTGGATGTATGTGGGAGGTCAAAGTAAACAATGGCTTTGTGTGGGAGGTGAGTGTTTGTGAAGAGGGGAGGTGCAGGAGAGCAGCCCTACTTGGTCGAGGCCAAGGTCGAGGATCAAGATGGGGCAGACAGTCTGTTGACTGAAAGGCGTATGATCAAAGGACGTGTGGGATTTATTTTTGGTCAACAGGGGAGATTGAGTGCCTTGTGATGGTGAACAGGTCAACACCTCACTGACCGAGGGACATCTTCTCGCGTCGTGCTTGCCAAAGAGAAAAGAGTGGAAGAGTCCGCTGAAGAAGCGTAAAGAACAGGAACAGTCTGGGTGAGTGGAGAATCGCCGGGGGTAAATGAGATGTCAAAGGATGACTGCACAGGTGATTTTGCTTCCTTTGTGGGTGGTGGTGTTTCCCTTGGCCTGGGGGCGACGCTGTTCTGTGGACAGCAGATGCTTTGTTGTGATGGGATGATATATATGTGAGAGATGACCTTGACCGGATGGAATACTCGGACGAGGAGATACATCAACTGCCATTCGGACGAATATACTCTCAGAAACCACCTAAGCACGAACTCGGGAAGTTCAAGACACATCGCGCCGGCGCTGGGAATTCGATGCCAGGTGCTATTGCACTTCGGACTTCATATTTGGTATTATGCACACCTCTCCCCGAGTAGTATCGTTGATGATGGACCTGACTAGTCGCATTTCAGAAAGATACGTCTTGAATGAATATACAACCATATTACACAAACGAGCTCGGAAATCTCACGAACGGCCGTGCTGGCGCTGGGAAGACATTGCCGCAAGGTGATATTGTACCTCAGACTTGCCATTACCTACAACAAGTTAGTATCGTCCGCGCCTCTCATCATGTAGCATCGTTGCTTATGAACCTGAATCGCTTCAGCTTTGACATATCCATCATCTACCTGAGGACGACTGTTCAAAGATGTCCACCCCCGACCCCACCACTTCCACCACTTCGATCGCTCCCGTCATTCCCACCGCGCCGGTCACCGACCCACTCCAGCCTGGAGAAAATGACTTCAACCCGCTCCGATCATATCCAGAAACATGCATAGATTTATGGAAGATTTTGTCTTTGACTGTTTTCAGTGTCACAATGATCATCGGTATATTGTTTGCATCGCAGGCTCTTTGGCACAGACGTGAGAGGCACAATGTGAAGCTCCAAAGGATGAGAAAGCAGACGGCTTGAGTGTTTCCTCGGCCTTCTATCTTACAAACTTTCTGAGTGCATTGGGAAGCATGGCTATGAGAGACTTCCACTAATCTGATTCTGATTATCGGTTTTATCTAAGTTCTCAGCGCGAATAATCATATTGACACTCTGATAACTTCCATAGCACCTTGCTTGAGGTTCTGCCAGTGTATATCCCTCCCTAGCTGGTCGTCTTCACTATTGTCAAATTAAATATAAACCTGCTTGAACCCCGTGTGCAGACAAGCGGATATCGGGAAAGTGTTGACTCTGGTAATGAGCACGAAGCAACTTGGATGAAATAAACAGTCACTAGCAGCTATGATATCGCTAATGACTGGTCAACTGGTCAACTGGTCAAGATATAGAGGTATGAGAGGCATATGAGTCTCTGTGATCCTATGCTGGTTCTTTGATGCCGCTATATGCCCCTGAATCTCCGGGTGGTCTCGTCGAGTTGAGGACAGATAGCCCTGCGTTAGATACTTGGATCAAAGTCGGCCCAAATCAGAAGCTCAAATTTTTACCGATACTATGTGTTTGCAAAATGGTGCTCTAGAAGACCATTTCCACGTGTTCAATCCCTGACCGAAGTGTCGGTGTGGGAGCTCGCGGACCTTGAACCTGGAAATGCGCAACACCGGGCTCCGAACTTGCTGGCAACCGAGACATCAAGTTACAACGGTGCACATAGTACAGTGGCACAAGACATCAACGTGGTTTCTTTCAAGCTTCCTCAGCTGTGATTCGAGGAAGGCGGTGACGACATCCCGGTCACTCTTGGGTGGCCATGATCGCGCGGTCGTTCCCCTTCAACTTACGCAGGGAGGAGCAACAAAGACTCGATCTTTCCAACGAGTAGTACAATCGTAGAGGACGGAATAGATCGGTGTAACCTCGCAACGACGCAGAATCGGTCCGGCGAGAGGAAACCGAAACCTCGTGTACCTGCCGCTTGTGCGTCATGAAAGGTGCTTCCCACCTCAAGCCCTCTGTCGTGGATCAACATCAAAAACGTTGCTGCTCAAAAGCATGAGCTGTTCCTGCCATCCTCTTGTTTTGGGAAAGGGATGATCCTGCCGCCAATGTCGTGCAGAGCAAACGGTCGCCTGACTTGGTTGGGTATGTGTGACGTGAGGGACGACTTCCACCTAGATTGGGAAGGTTCCAAGGACAGGGATATGGAGGCTGAGGAGTACGATGCAACTTCCGCAGATGACCTTGGCGCTGGCGACGGGAAGGAGAGATCGGAGACTTCATCCTCTTCCAGGGTAGATATGGCAGTTGCTGTCGGCAAGCTTCCCATCGAAGAAGGTAACTTCCTCCTTTCGTGGAAGCTCCAAGCTGTTAGCAGTCCAAGGACCAGAGTGTCTGTCTTCTCCCATATAAACCTCCCCAACCCGACTCCCACCCTCTCTTCCATCTCTTCTTTATCCTTCGTTTGCCAACGACACCACAGCATCCCTCTACCTTTTTGGACCAACACACATTCTGCCAGCATTCCTTTCAAGTCACTTCTTCCACTCAGAAATACGCCACTCGGCAACATCAAAAGCCAGGCCACCGAGATGTTTTCTCTCTCTATTGTCACTCTGACACTAGCTGCCCTTGGCATTGCCAGCCCCATTGACGTCAAGCCTCGTCACCACGAGGAAGTCGAACCTCGGCATCATGAAGAGATTCAACCCAGGTCTCACAATGTCCCAAGCTTCGAGACACTGAAACGTGAAACAACCACCAACGTGGGCTCTGCCATCTCCAAGATGATTCCCGGCGTTGGAAATGATTGGGGATGCAATCATGTAAGTTTCTTTTCCCTCCTGTCTGCTCGTTCCATCTCTTCTGGATCATGCTTCCTGTCACATCTCCACGCATGTACCTGTATCTACTACTGCATAATCAGCGATAAAGCGACAAGAACACACATCGTACCGATGTCACAGAGCTGACAGAGAACTAGATCACTGCCCCAAACCCCCTTGACTGTCCAGCCCTTTTCGCAAAGATACAATCCGGGCAAAAGGATGGAGTCACCGTATCGACCGACAAAACTTGCTTCACCCAGACTCATGGTACATGCAAGGCCACCGTCTGCTCAGCTGGTGGAGTTGACAATGTGGACTATTCGTTGACAACTGCACGGATGATGAACCCGATTCAAACAACGTGCGTTGTCAATGGGAAAAGTGGCTACTGGTGGAACGAGAACCACACAGTCTACGTCTCGGTCACGCGTGGCAACTAGGATCGTCGCGACCTTCGCTTGAGACAGTTTGAAGAGGATCCGAGTGATGAGGTCCCCGAGGAGGAGGAGCCGCAGGATGAAGATCCCGAGGACGAAGAAGACTCTGATGATGACGAAGAATCTGACGATGATGAGGACTCTGACGATGACGACGACTCTGACGATGACGAGGACCCTGATGAGGATGATGAGGATGATGAAGAAGATGGTGACGATGACGAAGACGAGGTTGAGGACAACGAAGGTGACGGAGATGATGAGGGCCCTGAAGACGAGGAAATCCCCGAGAATAGCGAGCCTGTCGAAGAGGAGCCTATTGAGGGAGAATTTGTTCGGAGACGGAGACGAGTCTGTTGAAGACAAGGCTTTTGATGATTTGATGGGCTCGAGATGGTAGTTCTTCCGATGCATGGTCGAAGTGCCTGGCACTCAGTCGCCAAAGCTACCTAGACACCTGTAGCATGAATTAACTATAAAAATTAGAGCATCGCATCAAGAAGACGATCATGGTGTTGTTTTGAGAGGGCTTCTTGCCTCGTCATCTGTCCCTTGCAAGTGAGATCATCACAAATGAAAACCAATGCCATTTGAAACCAATATGGATGGTCGTAGAGAGGGTCATTCTGGGTTTTTGGTAGTCAAGTATTGGCGAAGTCGTCGATGGATGTGCAGTGACGCAGGGCCAGGTGGATCCTTTCGCAGACAGCTGCCGCAGTGCATGGTGACCCCTGCTCGGGATCTGCCGAATGGTGGGGAGCTTGAGATCCATCATCAACATCAACCTTGATCCAACACCCAACACCGCGAAAACGACCTGCAATCTACTTTACGAAGCCTAAAGCCACCACTATACTCAACCTTGATCCTTGGCGCCGCGAAAATACAAGCTGAGAATACCAATCAAACACGCAGTCATGGGTCTGGTACGTCTCTCTCCCCCCTTACACACGCATCACCCACCGCAAAGTGCTGACGACCTGCGTCCCCGGACAGAACAAGGACGCCAGCCACACGTACGTGCACATGCACCGCGCGCGCGACGCCGACCTATTTGAGGATTTCTGCAAGGAGAAGCTGCCGGATGACGAGGTCTACGTGCCGCCGCAGCACCAGCCGATCAACCCGGAGGACGAGGACGACGTGGTGCCGGACCAGCACGCGGCGTTTGGGATTACCAAGGCGACGCAGCGGTCGCGGGAGGCGGCGTGGAAGGATTTGGGGCTGTCTGGGTTGATGAATCGGGGGCCGCCGCCTGCGGGTGGGTGGGAGAGGGGGCAGGCCGGGGCTGGGGGGAGTGCTGCGGGTGGGAGTGGCGGTGGGAAGAGGTTGCCGCGGTAGAGGGATGGAGATTGCAAAGAGAGACATTTTCTGGGACGAGGTGACGGGAGGCGTTATGGGATACCCGGGTATTGATTTCGGGGACGCAGGGCGTGTCTAGGATAGCATCGTGAATCGTGGGTTTTTCTTGGGGTGCCAGGCAGCTTCAACCTATGGCAAGAGACAACAACTGCTAACTGCAATGGAGTTTATGGATCGAAAAATCTATGACCTTATCGACAGTGGAATGATACTATCAATGTCTTTTTGGGCTTCATGACTGTCTTGTCGTTGAGCCTTCCTACAATCCCACCTCGAATTTCAAAGGCCCACGAGCAAGTATTCACAAGGCACCAGAAAAGTAATTCCATCGCCCAAACGCCGCCCATGCTCTTCCTGTACACGCCGTGAATCAAGATACTCCATCACCTCCTCGACGACTCCCCTCATCCCAAGGAGCTCGGCTCAGCTCTTCCCAAGATAGCCCTCCCTCTCCAACACCTCAGGCCTAAACTTTACCAAAAACACCGTCTTGCCAGGCCACATCTCGTGCTCGTCCTTTGCTGCGATATTATGCGCGCTCACCCTCGCGGGGAAACCCGCTCCATCGCAAATCCCCTCGACGATGCCCGCGACGTAGGCGGCGCAGTTGAGCTGGGACATTTCGCGCGGCACGGAGATGTAGGCGTTGACGAGGGGCTCGTTGTCGATGATCATGTACTCGTCTGGCTTGGCCGGGTCGGCCGATTTCTCGAGGCGGTCGGCTTGCCGGCCAAAGAGGTGCTGCCAGCAGGACTGTTTGATGAAGTGAAGGAGGGTGATGATTGTGAGGGGCCGGGTCTGGGTGCGCGGGGGTTCGCGGAAGAGGAGGAGGTCGAGGAGTTTGAGACCTATTGAGTGGCCTTGGACGTTGAGTCTGGAAGCGTCAAAGTTAGTGGATGCCAGGGCAAGGTGAGAGAGAGAGAGAGAAGGGCAGGAGAGGAACGAGGGAGCTTTACCGTTGTTCGAGCTCGGAAATGTCCTTTACGTTGCGCTGGGCGTACGAGACCATCTCGCTAAAAAGGTAGGCGAAGCTGGACTGGCTCAGCTCGGCCGTCTTTGTGCGGTTCAGGGGCCGGTGGTAGATTGTCTTGCCGTTGGAGGGGTATCGCAGGCCGGGCGTCTCCTTGCCCGGGATGCTCTTCGTCGTCGGCAGGTTCGCCATTGTCGCGTGTGTGGTGATGTGTGCCTAGAGCCCCAGTGTGCTATTCGGTGTTTGCGCTGCGATAGGAGGTGATTTATATGGTAGAGGGAAAGAATGGTCGGAGCTGCTTCACGGCTTGAGAGTCGGTGTGTGGCAGCAGCTTGGTGTTTGCGCTTGCGCCGAGAAAGGGTGACGTTTGGGGATGGGAAGGCTGCAGGGTTGGCGGGAGCTCTGGGTTTGGAGTTTGGGTTGCGCGATTGGTGTGCAGCCTTATCGGCGATAACGATAAGAGCTCGCGCAGGGACAACCACCTCGCGGGACGGGAGCTTCAACTGTCATATCCCGAACGAAACAAAGAAGAAATGGAAGGGAAAAATAAATATGTGAGAAGATCTACATAAGGAGGCACAATTGTAATCGTACCGTCCGTCTCAATGCCTCTGCGAAGCACCCAAAAGTCTACCTTTTGCTCCTCTATCCTGCTATTAGTTTGAGCGCCTTTTGCTCCTTCTATGAAGGTGTAATGATTAAAATCAACCTCTAAGCTTCCCGCTCAACATTTACCAAGTTAAGAATTCTAGGCAGTGGGCTTGGCCTCAGCAGGTGTCTCGGCCGCAGCCGGAACCGGAGCTGCTTCAGCAGCAGCAGCCGGAGCAGCAGCTTCCGCGCCGACGCCCTTCTCGACAGCACCGCCGAGGTAGTCCTCCGACTCGCCGATTTGTTTTCCGCCGGCGACCCAGCGGGCCGTCCGGGCTTCGTGCTTCTCCTTGCACATGCCGTTGAGAGCGGGCCAGTAAACGGAGTGGTCGTACTCGAACTCGAGCTTGCCGTCGCTGAATTCGGTCCACAGCTGCTCCTCGGGCACGTACTGGCGCATGTCCTCGTTGAACTTGAGCTTGTCCCGGGTCATGGGGTCGATAAAGGGGGTGATGAGCTTGAAGAAGCCGTTGACCATCCAGGGGACTGTCATGAAGTGTTAGCATGGCCGTGGCTTGAACTAGCTGAGATGAAGTTAAATGAAACAGCGTATACATACCATTGATGATGAGGGCCTTGCCCAGACGCTCGGGGTAATGCGTCTGGAGAATGTGCAGTACCTCACGAGCCAGTCCGAGGCCGGGCGCCGTGTTGCCGCGGCTCTTTGACGTCTTGAAGTTGATGAGAAGAGCAATCTTCTCCTGGCCGGCGGGCATGATGTCGATGACACGCTCGAGCATGAAGACGAGGTGCTGGACCTGGCGCGGGCTCGGCTCGGTGTTTTGGCGTCCCGGGTTCAGGTAGTGGCAGGGGCGGCGCTCCTTATCGAAGCCGAGAATGATTTGCTTGCCCGTCTCGTTCTCGGGCGAGATGTGGTCGGCGGTGAGGGCCTCGACGCCGTACTCGCGGCGCCAGGCCAGTGTCTCGAGGAGACGCTTCTCGGCGTCCTTGGGAGACCATTTGGTGGCGCGGAGGTAGCGGAGGAGGCACTCGCGCGTAAGCCACTGGCGCTCCGAGTCCGTTAAGGGCCCCGACTTGGCGACGTGGGCGGCGGTGGTGCACTTGACTTCCGTCCAGGCGCGGGCTTGGGCGAGGAGGCCGTCGTATTTGGCCTGTTGGTCTGCGGTGAGGGCCGGGACGGCCGGGGTGGAGGAGGCCGGGAGCGGGAGGGCGATGGGCGTCTTGAGCGGGCCGGATACGGTGGCCTTTTCTTGCAGACCGGCGGCGGCGGCGGTGGAGGCCGGTGTTTGATCGGCGACGGAGGCCATGGCGGGCGTGACTGGCTGGTGGGTGGTGACTGGTGGACCGTGGAACGTATTTTCCCTTTCCTTCGGAGGAGAACAGATCCGGTTGAAGGTAGGTTGGATTTTTTTGACTTTTGCCCTTGCAATACGGATGAGATCGTGGCCGTAAGGGGTATGGTGAGGTGGGATGAGATGTGCGCGGGGGTGGAGGGGTGTGTGCGTTCGTTCGCCCGTGTCTGTGGTCTACCTTAGCAGAGATGGAAAAGATAACCAATGTCTGCTTTTCGAACTTGTGTGCTTGTGTCTCGGACCTTGGAAGGGAGGTTGGGGAAAATCGCGATGAGTTTGTTTCCCTCGCGCAGAAAGCCACACCGCTAGAATTGCAATCACGACCACGATGAGCTTACGCGGTATTGATTGACGGTGAGATTGGAGTCTGGAGAGGAAAGGAGATGAGCCCATGCCGGGAAGCTCAGTTCCGGCCGTTAGTGTCCGCCCCAAGAGACCCAAAAGGGGACCCAAAAGGCGCGCTTTCTTCGGGACTATGTAAGGTAGGTACTCCGTAGGCCCGCCATTGATCAGCCGGGTTGCGCGCATAAGTTGAGTTTATTCTGTTTATCTGAGGAATATTGGGGATGTGTCTGGGTCTATAGTTCTCTATGCAGCCCAGGGTATCACGAACTATTCCAAGATTCACATACTATCAAGGCCTGCGGTTGGCGGGTTACATTAAACACCGTTGAGATGGATGGTCAACATGCTGCGCTTTTTCCGAGGTGGCAGGGTGATGGCGGGCCTTGTCACGCGCAGTCTGCAGCGCTGCTCGGTAAAACCCGCGCTAGGCCGGATCAAGTGGGTCCCGGTTCCAACGTTCTGAGAGGACCCTGATGCCTCCCCATAACGGAAAGTGCCTTACCTAATATTATACGTACTGCTCGGTTCGGGAACGGAGGCAGTTCTCTCCTTTGCTACCAGTACGTATTCTTTAGCTGCAATGACGCCGGCGGCGATGTGAAACTCGGATCTTCACTCAACCTTCAAGACAACCCGCACACGCCGCCGTCGCAGTCGTCCCCTTCTAACAACGGACCAGAGCCCTTCCTGTCTCCGCCGAGTCATGGGTGCCACTTTTGCGCTGTCAACCAACTTCGAACCTTTTGCAAACCAAGGAATGCCAGTGAACCGGCGTGTCAGTGGCCACCATCAAGTGTCACTTTTAGATGCTTCGTACGGATCCTCTCACTTCATCTGATCTAGAAACTCCCAGTGGCATTTGGAGAACGACGAACCCACCAAAGCACCACTACAATGTACAGAGACAACAATCTATACGCCATCGCCGATGATGGCTGAAGATGAGGCTTTCCCAGAACGGGACCGCTGGCTAACTGCGTGGAACGAATCGAACGATCAATAACTTCTACCGTTTCCAGGCTAACGATCATCCGCTGCATATGTCGCGTGGTCAACATTAGGCTGCCCCAACGTCGAGACGGCGCTCCAATCAACTCCATTCCTCCCTCGGCCGGTCCCTCGGCCTTCCGTGTCCGTGGCTGATCACGCTGGTCTTCTTGGGGACGTTGGAGACTTTGGAGCCATTCCCAGCTGCCCGGAACTCCAGCCATCCGAGCTGTGGCTGCAGCCGAGCGCCTGGCTTCTCTCCCTCCCGAACTCCCAAGGCCCGGCACTGGCCCTGTCACCGTGTCACACTCTCTCAGGAGCAGCACTTTGTGTGTGCGCTCTCCACCCCATCCGTCCACCTTTTCATCACTCGGTTCTTCGTTTCCGAGCCATGGTCCATCCCTCGAGAATCCCTCTCGTCCAATCCAAACACACACACACCCAAAACCATGGATACGTCGCTTGCTGGCTCGACTAAACCATGAACACATCTCATCCGTGCGGGGATGCGCCGTCGTCCCAGATGCCTCTTAGGTTGGATGCAGCTCCCTCCCGCCCACACCGTCGTCTATCCAATATCACACTTTCTGCAACCCGCTGCTGCTCTTATCCTAGCGGCTGGCCCCATTCCAGGCAACCTAGACATCTCGGGAGAGCCCTGCCTGTTCAAACTTCTCACTCCGGCTTCTGGACGGATCGTCGTCACATCAGCACGCCCCCACGAACTCCGCCCAGTGCCGCCGGGAAGTCGAATGTCCATCACTGATCGTCGCGGCTCCCGGTCTTGAAAAAGGGCTGCGTGGTATCCGCACCGGTAAACCTTCAAAAGAAGAAAACCTCCGGATCGACCGCCAGGATCAGAGCTCAAAAAGCCACTGATGTTTCACTGGCATTTCTCCTTCCTTTTTGCAGCTCTATACTCTCGGAGCTCTTAAAAGATGGTCACCATCCTCCCTTCCCTCTGGCCTTGCCTAGATCTGAAGAAGATCTCTCTTCCTTCACGCGATAACTTATCTTCTTGGCTTAACATGCCGCTCTCCAACTACCTCGTTCAGGCGTCCATCGCGGTCTTGTTGGTCATCTTTGGGATCCAGATGCAGACAACTGCCGCCCAGGCTACTCCGCTCACTTGCACGAATGTCGACCAGCCGAACCCCATCTTCAGCCAGTACCCGAATAACGCCACCGGTCTCTTGAACGTCACCATGGTCATCATCCCGATCCCCATGATGACTGCGCGCCAAATTATTCCGCAGCAGTATGGCATTCTCGAGGGCGCATACCGGGCTCTCATGCCAAACTTCCCAGCCGACATGTATCCCGTTGTCGTCCAGGCTGGTCACGATCACGATATTCGTTTTCAGGACTTTGGAATTCCCGACTTTAGTGTAAGTCCTACTTGCAGCAGGTTTCCACCTGAAGAAACTTTATTAACATCAGAAAATAGAAATCTGGCTTTGAGTTCCCCTTTCTGGACCTCCTAGGCGACGGCAAATCATCGTTCCGATGGGCTCCCGAGCAACTGATTTCGGCCTCCAACCCCGCTGCCGTCACCGGCTCCCAAGCGTACGGTACCGAAGTCCACGCCGCCACCTTTACCCCTGAATGTAATGCATACTCGGCTACCGCTGGAGGCGGCACTTCATTTAACGGTACCGCCGGTGACAAGTACATGTCCCTCGAGATGAAGAAGTCATCATGTGGTGGCAAGGCCCCGCCTTACACGCTGGCCATGTTCGATACCATCATCAACCAGCCCATCTTCGCCAACGGCTCGACCTGCGATCAGCAGATCCGCCTCTTCAACACCTCCGTCACCACCGGAGCCTTTGAGCCTGTTCCCGTACGCGGGACGCTCAAGTCGAATCTTGGACCGTTCCAAACCGATGCTTCCTTCTCCGACGTGGCTGGCTTTCAGGCCGCTACGCCCTTTATCGAAAATAACTATCTTCCTTGCGAAATGTTTAGAGGATATAACCCTGTTAAGACTACTTGATACCCCCTTTCTCCATTGTGGAGGGAGAACTTTTTTTTTTACAACTTAATTTCTATTTACCCTCTTTTTCGGCGGTGGTTTTTGGCCTTTGGCTTCGGCTGGAGCCGATGGGAGGAGACTTTTACGATCTGAATGACGGCATGACGTACATAGTATCGGATGGATGTGAGAAGAAGACTAATAGAGTCTCTTACCCTTTGTGTCAATATACATAGCGTGAGCCGCATGGCGCCACGATATCTGAACACCTTGTTTCCCTGAGATTTGTTGATGTAGACGGATGAAAGATGTAATTGGTTTGGAACCCCCCTTCTCAGCGTCGCAAAACCGAAACCGAGATCATTGCTCTCCAGCAAGACGAATGGGGTAGGTAGCAGCCAGCGTCTCTGGATGCGATTGCATCCGGCGTTGAGCGTTGTACTCTGCCACCCACCGCTTTTCGGTATCACCTCCGAATTACGGCTGCGCTGGGAGTTTTTGTTGCCGATGGAGGGAGAACGTTGACTGTTTTCGGCTTGCAGCTATTGAAGCCACGCCCGGCAGATGCCTCCCCAATTGCCTGTCATGGACGCTTCCGTATGTATCCACTTTTCTCCCGCCTCCGTCCCCGGGTGAGATTCTCCACTTTCAGGAGAGTCGTGGCAGAACCAAGGCTGAGGCGTCCCGCACTAGCTATATGGCTGATATGGAAGTCATAAATGATGGTGACAATCGAGTAGCCGGGCCAAATGAGGAAGAGACAAAAGTAGATCTTGGGGTTGTCCAGCCTGCAAGTAAGTAACGAGACGGGCAGCGATGTTTATTGCAGCGCGGGAAGTCTGGTGAGAAATTTGACATTGTCGCCGGATTTGCTCTGGAGTCGAACTCAAGACGTGTATTATGGTTGACGCGAAGAACTTGATGAAGTGACCAGGGGCAGAAGGGCGTTATGGCACGTAGATTCTCCAACATGTGAATGATCGGCCTTCTCCGCGATGGCAGAACTCACCAGAAAGCGCGGAGACCGGAGAGTGAGGATGGGGGGTTACATCTGCTTTTGATTCACTTGTAAGGACGGGGAGTGAAGTAGGTAGACACTGCACAATGTTGTTCTCGTTGCAGGTATTCGTGCCGTTTGGCATCAAAACTCACAGTAATGACTTGTTTTCTTCGACTTTGACTCTTTGCGATGGGTTCAGAATGCAGTGCAGACCGCGTTGCAGACTTGTGGGTTGCATAGTACAGCCCATAGCCTGGTTTGGCCCTCTACGAATTCTCGCTGCTTACGTTTGACTCTTTTTTGGAGTGTGCCACGTCTTTGAACTGTCTTGAGCCTCTTAGCATGGGTCAAAATCGCAGTGAAGATTTGCCTCCCAAGTGTGGGCCCTTGGCGGACTCGAGATGCGAAATGCAGCAAGGAAGTTGAAGAACCAGCTTACGCGAATCTAAAGGGACATGGCTAAGCAGAGCGTCGCTTCGGCTTGCGTCTCGACATGATGTGCGGCTTGGCAACAAGCTTGATCATACTCGGTGTAGATCACTTCCGGGAAGCACTACGAATTTACAACATCACAAAATTAGATATGCTAAACCAAATCTCACATAAGCAGCTGTCACTTAAACCATTGCTTTCCTAAACATGAGATAGGTTCATGCAACAATGAGGTATCGGGGCGGGAAGACGGAAAGTAGACGCAGAGGAAGAGGCTAATTCAAGCGGCTGAGAGAATCCATTAATGAATTGGGTTTACATTGCATCACCCACCTCAGAGAATGCAATACAGCAGCAGAAAGCGAAGCAACTTTCGTCCTACCTACAAGCAAGGAAAAAGGCCAGAGAACCAAGGGGAGGGATAAGACGGCAACTAGAGACGAAGGATCGACGAATGGCGCGCCTCAGAATGTGACTTTGGACGGAATTCAAAACACGACTGGAAACACTGCAGGGCCTCCGTCCGGGGAGGGGGACTCGAATAATGTGTGAACTACGGGGGCCGCCTGGCGGCTTTAGGATCGCTGAAACAGGCGTTGTCCTGCTTAGTCACACGCTATTCTCACTATTACTGACTCTGTTGTGCTGAAAAAGATGCACTAACGATTAACAATTGGGACTGGAAAGAGAGTCTGGGGCTTGACGGCTTGTTGGGGGGAACATCGACGACCCCTGTCCTGAAACTTCAGCCTCAGACTCTGGTGGTATCTGGACATGAGACGACGGGGAACCGAAAACAGGACGGCGTAACGAACCGAGGGCGGTTATTGTAGGCGAGGATGAAGGAGAAACAGGGGAAATGGATGGGGGCAAGATTGAACAAAAGAACGATATGGCCCGTATGGAAGAGCCTTCGCACCTCTTTTTGGTTTTTGCCTCCTCTTCTTACGTCTTCTTCTCTCCTTGGCGCTGGCGCATTGTCTCTAGCATCCAGTGCTTTTTTGCAGGAACTTCAGTCTTTCTAATTCGATTCGATAATTCTCTCTTTCATTGACTTGCTTGCCGCCGGTTGATCCGCTTTGTCTATTTCACTACACATAAAAAAGACACTCATTCGAGAAAACAAAGACAACTCGCCCAAGATGGACATGTCGGACGCAAAGTACGCCAACATCAAGTTCGAGGACCACGATGACCGGAGCAGCACCGAGGTCGAGGAGTCGCTCCTCGGCACCGACGACAAGGCGTGCCGCCGCTGCATGGCCAAGGACTACCACGACCAGCCGGCGAGGAGGAAGAACAGGTGCCTGGCGATGCTCAACTCGTCGCGGTGGTTTGTCGACACGATACTGCTGGTTGTGATCCTGGGCCTGCTGGTGAGGGAGCAGATGCAGAAGCCGCCGGTGAATACGTGGGACTTTGGCGGGGACTTAACTGGTGTTAGCGGGCATTGTGAGTTTATTCCTTTTCGTCGCGAAGATAGTGAGACGACGAGAATGAGGAAATCCGGGTTGCTGACTTGATGAATGTGTAGTCTCCCAGCAGATCAAGACGTTCACGCCGGATTACGAGGGCAAGTACGCGCCCAACGACACGTCAAAATTCTTCACGGATGAGACGTTGAACAACTGGAACGAGTTGATGCCTTGTAAGTAACTCAGTCTTTACAACAGTAAGAGGGTTGTAATTCGCTGACATGAACACAACAGATGGCATGGGCTTCCAGTGGGTGAATGACACGCACAAGTACCACGACCTGCCGACCCCCATCGTCTGGCCCGAGAAGACCGTCTTCACCACCTCCATCACCCACCAGCTGCACTGCTTGGTACGCTCTCTCATTTAGACCTGCCCTCTTCTTGTAAATGTCTACTAACATTCCATCCAGTTCGCTGTCGTCCAGACTTACTCTGGTATCAAGTCCGGCCACGAGATTCCCGACGACCATCACTGGCACATGATTCACTGCTTCTCCTACCTTAGACAGACCATCATGTGCAGCGCCGACATGGCTCTTGAGGGTCTCGAGACGACCTTCCCGGATCACAATGGTGGTTCCGACGGTTGGGACTCGAAGCATGGTAAGTCACCGCACATCATAATTGAGATCAAGCAGAGCAGTCGAAAGCTAACAACACGCTCCAGTGTGCAAGGATTACAACCAGGTCAAGAACTACTTGGAGAGCGTCAGGGCGTACGACGACAGAGAGATCTTTTAAAAAGCAGAACAATTAGCACCGGCATCATAGGCATTTCATTTCAAAAACCTACACATTTTTCACTCAGACTGGATTTTATCAAGCATACCAAAACATGAAGTGAAGTTTCTCATATGCCCATTCACAGACTCTCGCACTGAACTAGGTAGCCTCCTCATATTCGACACGATGAACGGCTCTCCCTAAAACCTCCTTCACAGCTGGCTGCAGGTTGGGGAGCTTGCTCCAAGGCTGCCGCATAAACTGCGAAACATGGGATTCCTCCAGCACCTCAGCCGGCGTCATCAGTTCCCACTCCGGCAGCTCAACCTCGGGCAGCGGCACACAGATACCGCATCCACCGGACCCCCAGCGACAATAGCAGTCATTCCCATCCACGCGGCCGGGGTCGCCGTACCCTTCCCACACCTCCCGGTCCATCATCCGGCCCGTCCAGACCTGCCGCTCAAACTCGCGACTGGAACGCCAGACCTGCGCCCACTTCACGTCGTCCATGCGGAAGACGTTGTTGATATTGGTCGAAAAGAATGACATCTGCCAGTGTAGGTCATTCCAGACTTTGGCTGGGAGGCGGTCGTCGTCCCACTTCCACTTCCACCAGCCGCCTTGTGACTCCGGGTGTGAGGGCAAACGCCATCCGACGCAGTCGTTCTCGATGAACTCGTACGTATTGGACACGCAGGCCATGGAGGCGGCGCGGACGGACATCTCGGGGAGTAGACGGGGCCGCGGTCCCAGGACCGGGTTGCCGTCTCTGTCGTACACGACGTTGGGGTTACTGCACCAGGCACGCATCTCGCCAGACAGAAACGACGGACACCTCGAGGCCCTGACGCGGGCGACGGCCCAGTACGCCGACTTGAGGAAGCGGGCCTGCGTGTGCGACTCCATAGCCAAGAACTCCCCCATGAACGATAAGGGCAGGCTGCACATGACGGTCAAGAACCGTGACATTGCATGCATGGGCTGCGCTTCTGCCGCGGGCTTCCGCTTCGAGGGATCCTCCCTCTCACGCTTGTTCCGCGGTGCGAAGCGGATGCGTTCAGAACGATATATCGTGGCATGCCACGCGTCGAACTCGGCGCGCGCGAGGGGCGCGGGGAGACACTCATCCATCTGCCTGCCCAGGTCAGCGCGGTCATCGAGAAGCTGCGCACGGAGGGTAAAGAAGTCGTTTGAGTGCGGGATGTCCCACGCGGGGAGGAATGGTTGGCGAAGATCGTAGGGGTTCCATTCCCACTGGAGGCCGACGGCGTCGCCGTTCCAGACGGTCTCTTGGTGCCTCTTCCTACACGCCGCTTCGGCGCGGCGGACCTCATCCGTCTCGAGGTACTGTTCGATGGTATCGCTAAAGGCTCGGAGGAGATCGCTCACGGGGATGGCGTACTCATTCAGCGTGGCTTTGAAGGCGCAAACGACCTCGACGAACTCGTCCTTGCTGTCCCAGCGCATGAAGATTTCCTCGGCGCGCGCGAGACGGGCTTCGTAGGTTTCGCCCGCGGGGCCGCGGACCACGCCTTCCACCATCGTATCGTTGCGTGATTGCCATTCTGCGCCGCGGGGGTAAAAGGGCTGTTGGTAGTACGCTCGCCGGATGAACTCGAGCCGGAAGAAGGCGCGCTGGAGCTTTGCGCGGTTCGTCTTGGTCATCAGGACGCCCTCCGATACGGGCGCTCGTTCCTCGTCGTGGGCCGTGTGCCGTTCAAAGGCGTAGATCAGGTTGTTGGGGTTTTCGGTGCCGTCATCCCTGCACAGGGCGGAGAATTTGGGCTTGAGCGTCGTGATGTCGGGGCCCCATCGCTCGTCGGGGAGTTCGTCGGGGCGGCGGTCCTGCCAGCTTTCTTCCCACTCTTCAAAGGAGGCGTAGACCTTTTGAGCCTGTGAGACCCTGTCTAGGAGCTGGTCCGTGATCTTGACGAGCTGGCAGAGGCCGGTTAGGTCCCATTGTCCGCGTTGTGTACACGGAGACTTACTCATTTGGGGGCCGGCGCTTGCGAATGCTCGAAGATAATAGGAGATGGTCAGTCTGGCTCTGCCAGAGATAGATCCTACAACACCTTCCGGGGGCGGAGGCCAGTCCGCCACGGTGCCGTTGGCGTAGTCTTCGTCAAAGGCGCTTCTGGCCGTCTTGCCCGGATGTTTCAGGCGGCGATCGACGCAGCAGATGGCATCGGACCAGGCTTCTGGGGCAATGTGTTTCCGAAGAATCTGTACCATGTTGTCTTTGAAGACCTTGCGGAGTGTAGGGTTCTCTTCGCAGAGGTCCTCGACGTCTTGTATAGACTTTTGCGCTAGCAGCTCTTCGAGTAGGACTTCGACATTTGTCGGAGGGAGTGGCGGTAGCGGCCGAGGGAATTGTGGCAGAGTGTCCCAGAGGGGGATCGCGTGGTTAGAGACGGCGTTCCTGAACGGTCCGAATAAGATGTCTGCTGGCCTTTGGAAGAAGGAGTGTCTTTGGACCTGGAGCTCACTGGGTGTTTCCTCCGCAGGGCGGCCTTCCTCGATATGATGATCGTAATTGATAGGCTGGTCCTCCTCGGCGGAATGATGTTCGTCGATGGAGTGGTTCTCACTGGATGACTGATCTTCACTGCCGGTGTACTCACTAAAGGAGTTATGCTCGTCATGAGAGTGATCTTCGCTTGAGCTATCCATGATGATTCTTTTACAGTTCAGTGTCTACTTTTTGATTCTGATAGGTATTGCTACAGAGTAAGACACGTTGGATTCGACGTTGACTGAAGATATAGCCGGTAGCCTGAATGGATGCCAACACAAGGCATTGTCGACACCAATTTCTGTCCTTGTACTGTTTGTTTGCGTGTCTTTGTCTGGAAAGTCCTCAGTGGTCAAAGAGAGATTATTCTATTGCACCCATGCCTCAGAAAGAAGAACGATGTCAAGTGGCCGCGCGGACCAAGTGTTTTGTTGGCATGCTGTTGGTATGAGAAGGGCGACGCATCACTGTCAGAACAATGCCTTGTTCAATCAGCATGAAACTTGAGTCTTGTCGGGACTCAACCTCTAGCTCTGTCTGGGATCATTGCTCATGATGAAAAGACTCTTTCTCACAAAGGCAGTCGAGCATGGTGACGCTCAGCCTTTGTCTGGTCTAGGTATGGCCCGAAACTTGCCCAAAGAAGGCTCATTTCGTGACCCTCGGGGATGAGACGTCACTTGGACGGAATGATGAAAGTCCTTCATCTTGATGTTTTTGGCCTCATTGACTACAAAGTATGAGACATATCGTTGCTAGAAGAAATGATCCCCTGTAATCAAAATCAAAATGATCTCTATTATGTATTAAGTTAAAGTAGTGTTTCTAATTTTTTTTCTTTTTGCTCTGATGAAGAACCACGCGTGGCTTCACATATGTCAGAGCCAAGTGCAGAGTGAGTTGCGTCAACTCCTTACTCCCAAGTAATGTCATCCAACGACTCATCAAAGACGTCGTAGTTGACATCATCCTGGTAAGCAAGCAGCTCATCAGAAGGCAACAACAAGTCTCCATCGGCGTCAAAGAGCGTGTCATCGAAATCGACGTCGAGCGGGTCGCTGTCGTAAGCGTCCGAGACATCGTCGCCGTAGTCGGCCCACTGGCCGAGCTCACGGTTGGTAATGCCGAGGAAGAGGAGGTAGCACTCGTCAACCTCGCCGTTGGTGACGGTGTAGGTGAGGTCCGGGGACTTGAGCATCTCGAGGCCGGCATCGACGTCTTCGCCGACGAGATAGATCTTGGCCGTCTGGTCGCCCTTGTAGGTGCAGACGGCGGGGAAGAAGATGTTGTCTTCGGGATCGATGGCGGCAAGGATGCTGGCGGTGCTGTCATTGTCGTCGTAGTAGAAGGGGGTGAGTGCGCTAGTGTACGCGTTAGAACTTGGAGGATTGAAACTCCCGACTCAAGGAAACTTACACATAGACTGAGGTTCCGGGAAGATTGGCCTCATCTCCGGAGCGGAGACGGCTGACGCCGAGCTTGTCCATGGTGTTGTTGTAGTAGTGCAGCACCTCGCCAGTCGGCGTGGAGAGAGCGGCCTCTCCGTAGCCGGCCCAGAGGGTGTTGCAGGTGATGTAGTAGGGGAGCTCGTTCTGGGTCGTGTTCTTCTGGAGGTAGACGTTGCCGTCGCTGCAGGCGGCGAGAACGTAGCTGTTGTCGCTCTCGAGGGCGAGGGTGCTGAACCAGTATCCGTCAAAGGCCGCCTCATCGAGGTCGTAGGGAATGGCGGCGAGGTCGGTGCCGTTGAAGCCGAGGTACTCAATCTCCTCCACGACGTACTTGGTCAGGTCGGCAAGCTGGGTCGAGTTGGTGGTGGAGTTCGTGGGGACGGAGACGTTATTTGCGTCGCGACGGTACTCATATCTGTTGTAGGGAGTGGAAGGCAGGGAGCGCTTGTCATCGTGGAGGCCGAGCTTGCCCTTGCTTGTACCATCCGTCTTGTTGCTGTTCAATTGTTAGCATGGCACTTGCTCTAGGTGTCTCAAGGATTATGATGAACATCTTCACTTACCCAATGCAGTACGACGCAATGATGTAGTCCTTGGTCTCGTGGACGGGCCAGTCCTTGTCGAGGAGCCCGAAGCCCTTGAATTTGCCCGTGACATCATTGCGAACACTGAGTGTAGTGCTGATGCCACTGCAGTTGTTGAGTGGCTTCAGTCCAGCCTCAATACCGTCGGTGCCGTTATTCCACTTGGCTTGGACAGCAATGGCTGCAGCGGCCTTGATGGATGGCATGGTCTCGATACCAATGGAGCCCTTGCACCTGGTGCATCCGCTGAAGGTGGTGACGCCAAATTCGAGGCCGACGGGGATGCCGAACTGGGCGGCGATCTCAACCTGGCCCTCGGCCTCGAAGCTGGGCTTAAACTCGGGCTTAAAGCCAATGGACTTGGAGCCGCCCTTCTTCCAGTCGTAGACAAACTTCGCTTTGGCGATGCTGACGTCGGCGCGAGCAACGGCGGTGCCGGTCATGTTGAGACTGAACTTGACCTCGGTACCGATGGAAAGCATGGGGCCGACAGTGACGAAGCCGAGGGTGAAGGGCGAGAGGGGGATGTCGTACAGGTTGTTGCGGAACTTGTGCTCCTGGTAGTACTGAGCGTAGATACCGATGCCGAGACCGACTGAGATATCGATGTCGCTCTCGATGTAGCCATCGGTGATACCCTTGATGTTCTCGATGGTGATGTTGCCCTTCGTCTTGAGGGATCCAGAGAGGCCGCACTTGACACAGTAGAGGTTGATGAAGTTACCCTTGGTGACTGTAGTCTGCTTCTTGGATCCCTTGGGACGCAGGTCCTTGGGCGAGGGAATGGTGCCAAACGACTTGAGCAGGAGAGCGTCGTCACCCCAAGGGGTCTTGACGGCCTTGGCCTCGCTGTCCTTGTCCTTATCCTGCTTCTTAGGCTTGCACGCGTTCTTGAGCTTCTCCTTCTTGTCCTTGTCGTTCTCGGCCTCCTTGCACTCCTTGGCAGGCCAGGGGAGGAGGAGCTTGTCAAAGTCCTTCTCGAAGCGGTTGGGCTTGCCCGTGAGGATGTTGCCACCAACCTCGACAACGGTCTTAGCGACCTCGACGACCTTGGCGCCAATTTTGACAACCTTTTCGCCCGTCTTGACGACGTTGTTCTTGGCGGCCTTGGCTCCGGTCTCGATCTTGTTGCCGAGATTGACGACGCCGCTCTTAATCGCCGGGCCGATCTTCTTGAAGCCGTTACCGATGTCCTTGAAAACGGTAATACGTCTGGTGAGGGTCGAGTCGGTCAGCTCGCCATCGATGTCAACCTCGGAAAGGGTCTCGTTGAAGCTGAAGACATCAGACTCGAAGTAGCCGAGCTCTGTGTCGAGGTCATCGTCGAAGTAGGGTCCCAAGCACGCCGTTGGGAGGCCGTACTTCTCATCCACGGGAGCTACACAAGCAGCCGTCATGGTAGGAGCAACGGAGTACGCCGGAGTCACGTCAGGCTCAGTTGCGGTGGGTTCAGCGGTAGCTGCAGGGTTGCCGTAGTTGACGTTCTGGCTGCCATAGTTTCCCCACACAACATTGATATCCTTGGTGACATCACCAATGTCCTTAGCCTGTCCTGCAGCAGTGGCGGAGAGGGAGTTGCGGTCAAAGGTAACAGAGTTGGCCTGGAAGTAGCATCTCTGGCCCAGATCGTAGTCACCGCACTCAGGCGTGTAAGTGACGAAGATGATGTTGTCTGCCTTCCAGTTGGACGCGCTGTGGTCAAAAGCATTCTTGTCACCAAAGGTCATGACCAAGTTGCCTTGGCCCGAGAGCTTGACGTCGGTGACGAGACCAGAGTGGTCGAGAACGATGGACGGAGCAGTCCACTTGGGGGTAGCAACAGCATAGATGCCACCTCCATTCGAGCCGGCATCTTGCGCGTAGTGGATCGGAGCACCAGCGCCGCTAGGCTGAGGAGTGAGGTTGTTGACATCGTTGAGATCGTGGTTGTCTGGGATGGCAGGCTTTAAAGTCGCGATGGGGCCGAGCTTCGAGGTCGGAAACTCGTACTCCGTGCTGGAGGAAGCGGCCGTTGCGGCAACAACATCACCAGAGGCAGATGCCGTGCCGGTGGCCAACGTGAGTGTGCGGGTTGAGTTGGCCGGAGGGTGGAAAGTCAAACCGGTGCTGAGGGGCACAGACACAGATGCAGTCCGGGTAAGGGAGTTGCCAGACTGGCCCGAGACAAAAGTCTCGTTCCTTCGGTTGAGATAATTGCGCTGGCCTGGGTGTGCGAGGGCACCGGATAACCCAAGCAGGGGAAGGGTAAGAGACCACTTCATGATGAAACGAGTGTGAGGGATGATTTATATCAAAAGTCTGTAGTGATAAAAATAATCCTGAAAGAGGAACGAGTGTGGTCAGCTAGGTATAGCTGGTGATAATCCAAAGTGATAAGAGACAGAAACAGAAGCAACTCAAGCCATGAAAGAGTGAATGGCAGAGAGGAGTTGGTTGAAGGACAAGAGTCGAATCCGGAAGCTGAGGACGACGATCTCTGGATTATATGGCAATTCGCCTTTCACGAAGAATTCCCATCCTTCGACCTGCCGAAATTTCGAGTCAGACTTGCCTTGGTAAAAGACCATCGTCTAACACCGTGATAAGTCGACGTTGACAGCCGCATCGGGGGACCATCTCGTTCGGGTCTAAGCGAGGACTCTAAGTTCCAGGCGAGGCTCAATCGAACGACAAGAGACACCATCTCATGCAGTAGTCAGGGGGTAGTTCTTCAGTGATTCAGGAAAGGGTATCGTCTTTCGCTATTGCCGCGAGCACTAGTCCCCTTACTTCGCTAGCGGCCGGAACCTAACCAAATAGTCGGTACTGTGGCTCAACATCGCGTGGGTTGTCAAAGGCGCCGGCCGCTCAGATCGGCGTTTGGTTGGTCGCACAACGACATGTGGCGGCCAAACCTCTCAGCCGCAAACCCCCTGAGTAACGATTTTGCGCACGCCACGAACGGTGGCCGCAGCAAATAGTTCGCAAAGATGGTGGCTTTCTCTGTCAAGCCTGCCCGTCAAGGTTCGAGGAGAATCAGTGCGGCACGGCAACCGGGGACTTTGAAATGTCCTAGCTTGTGCGGTCAACGAGTGTCATCTCGATCCGTCAGGTTGGTAATCGAGTGGGACGAGCAGTCTAAGCTTCAATGGATTAAGGTAAGAAGCCACGTGGGGTCGCCGAATGTCTGGCGTCGGATTCTCAGTGCTGCAACAAAAATTGGCTTGCCGAGTAACCATTTCGGGCGCTTCAAGCATATCCTCATAGTAGTAGAATATGAGAAGCACGCGCGGCAAGTCAATGTCGGATGAATAATTTAGGCGTCTCTTGCCCGATGACTTGGAGAATTTCTCTGATGCTGTTTAGCATTCATGTTCTGTGAGGTTGTGTGGACTCTGCTGATTGACTTGGTCATAGTGCTCAAGCCATCGAAGACAAGAGTCGGAAGACATGAAGACTTCAACGAGACGCGTGGGCTTGTCGATAAAA